ATGGGATGGGATGGGATGGGATGGGATGGGATGGGATGGGATGGGATGGGATGGGATGGGATGGGATGGGATGGGAGGCAATGGGATGGGAGGCAATGGGATGGGATGGGAGGCAATGGGATGGGAGGTAATGGGATGGGATGAATGGATGTGATCCTAGGTGTGGAGTGGCAGCAGTGCTCAGCATGCCGGGCACACGACCCGGGCACAGCTCAGCACCTATCCTGTCCAGAAGGAGCCTGCGGAGGTGCCTCCGGGTGGGATCTGTGTGTCATCCTGACCCTCTGCAAAGAGACAGAGTTGGGGGCAGTTTGGGGCAGCCCTGGCTGCATTTCCCCCTAGCCCCCCAAACCTGCCCCCCCGCCCCCAGCAGTTGCAGCCCCCAGTGGCACGGACCCCGTGAGGAGGGACGGGCGGCAGCGCCGCGGGCACAGGCAGAGCCGCCGGCCGAGGCGGTGGCACCTGCGCCCTGGGCCGCGGCCAAGGCCAGCCCCCGGCGCGGGGGGGCCCGGAAACGGCGCCCGTGTTTGCCCGGGGTGTTTGCTCGGCGCTGGCTCTGCCCCTGCTCGCGCTGGCCCGGGCAGGAGGCTGCGCCGGGGCCGCCCCTGCACCCCTGGGAGCCCGGCGGGGTGGGAGACCAAAGCTGGGGCGGGGAGGGGGGTCATTCACCCAGCCCTTCGCCCTGGCTGTGGGTGCTGCTGGCCGGGGGGGCTGAGGCCGTGCTCAGCTCATCACAGCCGCCATGGAGGCGAGCAGGGCGCTCAAGGCTCTGCGCGGCACTGCCTCGCGGGCTCCGCTGCTTCCCGGTACCCGCGAAAGCGCCGCTGGCCACAGGGGAGCGGGATGAGACACCGCAGCGGGACAGGGTGGATGGGACCCCCGCTCACGGGCACGGAGCCACCCGCCCAGACCCACCACCCGCAGCGCCCGGAAGCCCCGGGACGGCCCCGGAGCGGCCCTGCGGGGACATCCCTGTATCCCTGGGCCCCCCCGGGCACATCCCCTCGCCGGGGGGCTCCGAGGCCGCCCCGAACCCCAGGCCCCCTCCCATGCAGCGGCGGCTCCGTATCCTGTTTGCTGGGGGTGCGCACGGGGCCCCGCTCCCCGCCCGGAACCCGCGGGCCCCCGAATAACCTGCGCTGGCTGCCCCACGGAGCCACCGAGGCCCCGGGGAGGAGGGAAACAAGGACCCGACCTGCTCCTGCGGGTGGGGGGCGGGCAGGGACCCCCCCAGCCCATTTGGGAGACCCGTTAAACCGGTCGCTCCTCCCCCATAGATGGGGGGGGAGGGGGGTGCACACGCGTCCTGCCCTTCTGCTTTGCAAACTGCCCTCTGTGCTGCAGTGCGGGGGGAACCTGCCCCCCCCGACTGCCCCGGCCACGGGGGTCGGAGCCCCCTGGTCCCTGCGCGGAGCCTGCGCCCCGCCCGCGGCAGCGGGGCTCCCGCCGCCCGTCACCGCCGCCTCGGGCCCT